ATATATATATATATATATATCTCTCTCTCTCTCTCTCTCTTTGTGTGTTGCGATTGCAAGGATGAAAAAAATTACACTCAATACGATACCCGCGGGTTTTGTGTTGAATGAGATAGGGATTACTCGCTTAATCTTGTAAATGGGGTGAGTACAAAAAAATATGGTCCTGTCCCGCCTCTCATCTCGTTCAAAGTTAATTTCAAATTTAAGATTTTTTATCAAATAAAAAGAAAAAAATTATTAATATTCATTAATTAAATGTATAAAAAAAAAACTCCTATTTTAATCTGGTATGGAGGTGGAAAAATGACACAAAAATACCCGATAGAGTGGTCGACGAAAATTACTGACCCGTCCCATTGCCATCCCTTTGTGATTGTCAAATTTATTCTTTGGTAGCGTGTTATCACTTTATACTTTTCAATGAAAAATATTTATAATTATAGCCTTAACCCTCCAAATCATATAGAATGTTTATTGATAAATTCTAATTTTATTTCCTATTTTTTTCCTTATTAAATCACTGTTTGGTTCGGTTATAAATTTAAGTAAAAATTATCAATTAATTTTAATAACATATTTTATGAGACGCACAACTTATTTCAATTTTTGTTCCAATATTTTTTCAACTCCCATTAAAATCTATTAAAAATTTGAATTGAACCAAATCGAAGTTTAAATTATGGTCCACACAAGCCACTCATCCTTTTTACAAAGGGCCCATAAATTTTTCTTGCTAGATATGCAAGCTTATAAAGGCCAAATAACTAATGAATTAGTTAGCCTTGATTTCTTTAGAAATAAAAATTTTGACTAATGTTTGACAAAAATGATGATATGCGAATTGCAAGTTGTATTAAATTGGATTTATTAAATACTTTACAAATTTTTTTAAATGATTTACTTTTGTGAAATTTGTGAACTTTTAATTGATTTGCAAAGAATTAGTGCTTCTGTAAACTTTCACCGAGTCTAACATAACAATGAGAATCTCTCATAGGGGGCAGATGTTTGACCCCTACCATCCCGATGCCCTCCTCATTAATAAAAATTATTTTTTAAAGAAAAAAAAATTTAAGTCCAATTTTATAAATAAAAAAGTACAATATATATTTAAAGTATATAATATTTTAGTAATCTTTGATAAAAGAAATAAAAATATATATAACCCCACTTGAGTTCTATTATCTAAAAACTCATTTTCAATCATATATTCTATAAATAAAATAAGTTTACACATAAATTTATTTTTCCTACTTTTAACTATATACCATCAAAAAAATTTATATTACAAAATCTATTTTTCCTAAAAATGGGAATCAAATTGACCTATAATGTTCATAATCTTTAAAAAGTAAATAACAAATAAGTTTATTTAAATTTAACTATAAATTATTAATAATATCTTATAAAATTTAATTATAAATTAATCTTATTCATAAAAAATTATATCAATCAATCAAAAAAAGATATAAAAAAAAAAGAAAAAAGAACAAATATAATCAGCATAAAAGAGAGAAAAATAATTATTTTTTAATAATGACCCATAGAAGAAAGAAAGAAAAACATTGAAAGGACAAAAATTCATACTAAAATTATTATTATTATTATTATTATTATTATTATTATTATTATTATTATGATGTGAAAATCTTCCAAAATTAGGAGTGAATGAAATATAAATTTTGAGATTTTGTTTTTATTATTCTTGCTTAAAGTTATTACCTGTAGACTGAATACACCATGACATAATAGAGGCTACTTTTAATTAAATACACTGCGACTTTTAGAAATTTTTTAAAAGTTTATAGAAGTTTATTAAGCTCTTGATTGAGCTCTATAAAAATGAAATTTTGAAGAAAAATGTATTTTGAAACAGTACTTTTCAGAGAATATGTAGTAAAAAAAAAAGAAAGAACAGTCTTTGATTTACTGTAAAATTATTTTGTTGAAAATGTGTGGTTAAAAAATGAGTTTTTTTCTTTTTTTTTTTTAATGGAAACCAAATATTAGCTAAATAAATTAATACTTTTAGAAAATCTTAAATAATCTAAATTAAACATTACTAATTTTTTTGAAATCCTTGAAAGTTTTTTAAAAGTTCGAATTAAATATACTTTCATAAAATTGATAAAAGTCATTGGTTTCATAAAATATGTGCTTAAAATTTAATTTTTGATTATCTTAATTTTTTTTAACTAAATCTAATTGAAACACGTCTTACTCTATGATGAATCTTAGCCTCTATTTAGTGGGATTAAAATCAATTTTTTAGTATATTTTGAAAAAAAAAAACATAAAATATGTTATTAAATAGTTGTGAATACTCTAAAATATTTGATTAAAATTAATTATGGGTTTTAACTTCAATTAAAAATTATTTAATCCCAATCTGGCCAAATCTCAAAAACTCCCTCTAAACTGAATTCGTAAAACTCTTGGAGTCCGCCCCGCAACTGGTGTAATATCAGCATTTCAGAAGTTTCCTCCAATCAGACGCAGAGTGAGAAAAAAGAGATAGTCAAAGCCTTCGAAAGAAAACTCTGAAAGTCGGAAGACTCGTTTATTATACTTTACTTTTACTTTTTCCAATTTCAATGATCTAGCTAGGGTTTCGGTTTACGCGATTGATTTCTTGGTGCAGGTAACGTTTAGTTCCGTTTTTTTTTTATTTGTTTTTGTTAAGTATCTTTCATTTTAATGTTTGGGTGATTTGTTGTTATAGTTATTGATTTGTGTGAAATTTCTCTGATTTGTAGTTTATTTTTGTTGTTGAAAGCTGATGCTGTATTTCCGGCTGCTTTTTTATTAGGTTTCAGATCAATTTGAAGTGTATTTTGATTTTTATCTGGAATATGGCTTCGGTTGCTGTAGTGCCTCCAGGCACTGAAAAGACGAAATATGATGCGATGCTTGTGGATAAACTTCCTGAAGAAATCAATGAAATGAAGATCAAGGAAGATAAGGTGGAAAAGGTTGATTCTTGAGCTTGCGAAGAACTTATGTTCTGCTGTTTTTAACTTTTATCTTCCCTCTTATTATTGGCATTTACTCTGTTGTAGGAAGTGGAAGCATCGATAGTGGATGGAAACGGAACTGAAACTGGGCATATCATCGTGACTACTATTGGTGGTAAAAATGGTCAACCTAAGCAGGTAAAATTTCGAGATATTAACTTTTATAAATAAAAATTTCCTCTTAGATTTCAAAAGGGGATTCGTTTATTTAAGAAGTATGATGTCAAATTGATGCAGTTTGGTGAAATACGGCTATGTAGTGTTAGTGTTTTTGATGATTTTATTGTGAAGTTTGAAAATGCTGGCTGAAAATCAAATTCAGGCGTACCTTTAGAGATTAGATAACTGAAATTTCTTAAGTGAAAGTTTCAAAATTCTTTATATTTATGAACTGCAGAGAAATAGAAAATCTTGCCTTGAATAGTTTATCTGCGTAAAAGTATGGCCTATTAGGTATTAACTGCCTTAAAGTTCAGTAATTTAATTTCATCTCAAAGGCGGGCTCGTAGATGATTATGGATCTCTACTTTTGCTTTTGCTTTTTATTAATTTTAATTTATATAGAGAAGTAGGGTTGAGGCTTGAGACAAGGCATTTTGAAAATGGAAATTTTATCGATTTGATTAGGGAAATTTTCCGTGCACATACATATTCTAGCCTGTACATTTGTTTTCCACACTATAAGGCCGTTGACATTGCTTCTCCATGGAGGGTACCAATAAATCCTTGCTTTCTTCATGGATTTTACTTGGTCAAATCAATTTGTTGAGATGCACAAGTCCACAGAATAAAGCATGAACCATATCTTTTGGCTTGGACTTCTAGATTCCTCTTTTTTTAGACTTCTCTATTACAACCCAAGCTCTTTCTTGAACTCTAAATTACCTCCTCTTAGAATATCCTCATTTGATGAGGCAGTCTTTACTCATCCCTACCCAAACGATGTATATCAGATTTTGGAATTTACCCTCTCCCTAAAATCCTTTCTTTTAATTGCTTATATGTGTGTGGGTGGGGGAAAAAACTAGTGATGAGGAATGTTAATATGTTTGTTACTTAATCAGTGCTCACTATTAGATGCTTTGCTCTCTTATATTTTAATACTAAAAATTACCTGCTAAGTGCTGATCTTGTGATTATGTACACATCTGACAATAGTAATGAGAGTGATCTTACAAAATCTTGTGCTGTACATTTATCTTCTTTTGATGTATTTCAGGGCAGAAGGTTTCATATCACTTTTTTATACTTTGCTTTCTTTTTATGACAGACAATAAGTTACATGGCAGAGCGTGTTGTTGGACAGGGTTCCTTTGGGATTGTGTTTCAGGTGATTGTTGTGTCCTGCTTATATTCTGAAACTTTACACTTGGTCAATCAATGATGGTTAAGTTGGGAAAAATGAAGAAAAAAGGACATATGATGCTTTCCTATGATTAAGATGTTTGAGTTAGGTACTCTTTGCCTTTTAAGTATAAACTATCACAGAAACAGCTTTGGTTAAAGTTGTGTATAAATTACTTTGCAGGCCAAGTGTCTTGAAAGTGGAGAAACAGTAGCTATCAAAAAGGTGCTGCAGGATAAAAGATACAAAAATCGTGAACTGCAGACGATACGCCTTCTTGATCACCCCAATGTTGTTTCACTCAAGCACTGTTTTTTTTCAACCACGGACAAGGATGAGCTTTACCTTAATTTAGTTCTTGAATATGTGCCTGAGACAGTTTATCGTGTGACAAGGCACTATAGCAAAGCAAACCAGCGAATGCCTATGATTTATGTCAAGCTTTACACATATCAGGTCAGCCAACTTGAATAGATTGTATAATTTAACCATTTGAAGATTTTAGATTTGTCCCTTAGGAACTACTCTTATTCATTGATGTTTCATTTTTATTGCTTAAGATAATTCTTTATTTGATTTCCTTTTATTTGTGGTTCATTTTCAACCGAATAGGCTGCGATGACAGGTCTTTATGCACTAGCTCTACCTTACATCCCTATTTTATGTACTTATCCTCCATACCACAGGAAAAACAAAAAACAAAACAAATGGTGCCAGTTATTCTTTCTGCTCTTACATCCTTGCTTTTTAACTCTTTTCAATCTTGTTGCTCAAATTTGATTAGCCCCATGGCTATTTATGCATCTTCATTTTCATTTACAGTATTAAATCTATAACATTCTGGTACTTATTTCTATTTAAAATGGTATAATAGTGCATGATTTTAGAAAATGATTCTCCATCTTCTTGAGTATGCTCTTTTGCCAATTCCTCCCTTTTTTCCAGGGAAGTGGCTATAATATTTTTAACACACAAATAAGTTCATTTTGTTTGCAATTGAACTATGGCAAGTTTCTCTGCAATGGTACTGTGGATCTTGCATTGCACACATCATGATAATAGGAGTATCTCTGAGAAGTTAATGCGATGTGTTTGTGTTACATATTTTATCTTATGAACGATAGTCTGCAATCTCTTGTAATTAAATTCTCATCGTTTTATCATCTTTCTATATGTCGACAGATGTTTAGAGCTCTTGCATATATTCACGGGATAGGAGTCTGCCATAGGGACATCAAACCTCAGAATCTTCTGGTGTGTATTAATTTAAGTTTTTACACCTGTGCACACATTCCAATTTAATGATACTTACCCAATAATTGGTTCTTGCAGGTCAATCCGCATACTCATCAGCTAAAACTCTGTGATTTTGGAAGTGCAAAAGTTTTGGTACTGAATATATAATATAGTTTTCCTTTTGAATTAATACCTTGGAGACATTAAAAGAAGTTATACACTAACCAACAGTGGACGATGTAAATTAATTATTTAATTATTCTCTGAATGGAACTTTTGAGTTGTACAAATATGGTTCACGAACCAATTTGTGAGCAACTCTTAAGATTTTAACATCATTGTCCATTGACCAAGCATGCCTGCAATTTCTGTTCTTTTTGAAGATGTTCCTCCTAACTTCTGCTTTTCTCATAGTAAAATAAATTGATGTAACACAGAAAATAATCCATTATGTTGGACAGGTGAAAGGTGAACCAAATATTTCTTATATTTGTTCTCGGTACTATCGCGCTCCTGAACTAATATTTGGGGCAACTGAATACACAACTGCAATTGACGTATGGTCTGTTGGCTGTGTTCTTGCTGAACTTCTTCTTGGACAGGTTCTTTACAAGTCCTTGCATACTTTTCTGAAGATTTAGAGAATCAATGTAGTGAAATTGATGATATTTGCTTCTTTTTTCGCGTGGTAGCCTCTCTTTCCTGGTGAGAGTGGAGTCGATCAGCTTGTGGAAATCATCAAGGTAACCCTGTTGCTAATTTATAAATAAGACCATAAGCTTAAATTGTTACGAGTATACTAGTGAGTTTTAAAATGAATAATTCTATATGGGTCAAAATATTCGAAAAGTTTCTAATTTCACAGTAATGTACAAGTTATTTTCAAAATTTTTATTATTGTGTTACTTGAAATTTAAAAAGATGTGCAAACTTGTTTGGAAATGAAAAGTGCTTTTTTAAGCTTGGCTGAGAACATGCTCTAATGGCATCTTGATACGAGGACAACAGGACTTACGATCTACAGCTCATTGAGCTAAAAGTGTGAGCTTTATATTTTTACTGTAGGTGCTTGGAACCCCCACTCGTGAGGAAATAAAATGTATGAATCCAAATTATACAGAGTTCAAGTTCCCACAAATCAAGGCTCATCCTTGGCACAAGGTTATGTTCCTTATCTCTCTGCTGAAGTTCTTATGCTAATGCTTTTGCATGCATACTAAATTGTTTGATTTGTCATTTCTTCCGCGCACAGATTTTCCACAAACGAACACCTCCAGAAGCTGTGGATCTTGTATCTAGACTTCTTCAATACTCACCAAATCTGAGGTGTAATGCTGTGAGTATCTCCAATAGGTTTTTGTAGCATATGTTACTATTATCCATTTCTTTCTCAGTACCCTGTGCCGAGGGACATTATATCAATCCATTGCTACCAACCCTATATCAAGCTACTAACCTCTGTATTTTCTTCTGTTCAACCATTTTTTTTTCTTTTGCAGTTGGAGGCCTGTATCCACCCGTTTTTCGATGAACTTCGTGATCCTAATACACGTCTTCCTAATGGCCGCCCATTGCCACCTCTCTTCAACTTCAAACCACAAGGTCTGCTTACCATCTTTTCTCTTCTCTTCCCTTCTCCTTGTACTGTTCTGGTTCTTCTTTCATAAAGTTAATACTCTTTTCGTAATCTTTCTCCTGATTGTAATTCTTTCATTTACAGAATTGAAAGGTGCGTCTTCGGAGCTTGTGTCCAAGCTAATACCCGAACATGCTAAGAAACAATGCCTCTTCTTTGGCTCCTAAGGTTCCGTAGAATTTTCTTGTACCATGTGTGTATGCTTAAGACTAATTTGTTGTGTTTTATGTTTAGTTTAATCTTCTGTGCTGGCACAGAACAACCTGGATTATCCTTTTGTTGACTTACTTTGTGTAATTTATTGGTTAATTAGTCCATCTTCATGTTACTCGACGTGGCCATACTTGTATTCCACGTGCTGACAGAAGAAAACAAGGTCTTTTGTGATTTTCCTGAATTGCCCTTGCTTAAATGTATAATTACTTGAAATTCAATTGAAGTATGAATATATATGTGAAAGATTATTATTATCTTTCTTTCCGTATAATATTATTTCTTTATTCTTTGCTCAAGAGCTGGAGTAAGCAGGATGGTCACTGAGCGGGCTGAGGCCTGTCTCGGCTAGTTTCCCAATGGGCTGAGCCTGGCCGAAGAGCTGAACAGAGCTTGGGTAGTCGCTGGCGAGTCTTAGCCCATTGCCTCTCACAATTGTATACTATTGGATAGTAATATGGTGGTTGTATAGTCTCATAGAACCAAATGAGAATGTACCTTAAAACTAGGTTTCCATTCTTTGCTAGAAAACGAGATCAATTTAGTTTTATTTTTGTTAAGAGTTTGTCCGCGAGTACAGAATTTATTTCACAGAAGTGTACAGAAATCTCATGTGAATGTGGTTCCATATGAATAAAGAAGTGCCAAAAAATGTCCACCCCACCCTCCTGGTGTGAGTGGTTTGTCACAGAATCTGTAAGCCCAACATCTCTCGTTTGTTTATAGACGAGCACAGTGCATTTACAGATGCAGTTGACTTGGCTTTTATCACTTTTATTTTTTCCCCCTTCTTAAAGGGGCACTTAAATTTTCAGATATCAAAATGCATTTCGAAAGTTAATTGAGAAAGACAAAAAGTAACGCTTGCGTAGCACATTGACTCCAAGAACGACGATTTGTCTAAAATCAAGTGTACGGAACTTATCCACTTTGCGAGGTCATAAGAATTAGAACTAATTAATAAAATAAAAGTAACGGGAAATTATTTGATGACAAGTCTAGACTCGAAAGTATAAAATATATGTACTTTCAATGAGCTGTCATAAATGTTGCCATAACAACTGATTAGTTCAAAACAATTGAAGTGGCACAATCGAATGACAAAAGATGACATGTCTAGACTCGAGAGTATAAAGCATATTTTACTTGCTCTGCGTTGCTATCGTAACTACCATGTCATCGAGCCCTAACTAAGATGCCAAGTATTAATTAAAATTAATAGGGGATATCAATTAGTCATGGTACGCCACTAATTAGTTTTAATATTTTGTAGTCAGAAATTAGAAACAGAAAATGCAAGTGAAGTAGGAAAGAATTGAAATTTGTACATGTATTATTTTGACTTCTCTTTTTACCCTTGAATATTTATTGATAATAAATATAGAATCGTTTTTTAAAAAATATTTTCTATTTAATTTCAGCTGTCTTTGTTTGTTGCTTGCTTGCTTATAATTGATTTTTTATTTTATTTTGTTTTTTGTTCTAATTGTTGAAAATATTGTAACAAATGCAAGTTGATAGAGGGGAAGGTTTCTTCCTGAATATGAGCTAAAAATCAAGTGTATTCATGGCTTTCCAAACGAGGCTTGTTTCTATTGATTCCATGATTTCACAGCGATAATTAAATATTGAGGACAAACAGGCACCAATAAAACAACTATTTCCATTTGTAATAAAAGTGTTATGTAATTACTGATCAAAAAGCATATTTAGTCTCATTTTGTAACTACTTCACATGGAAAGGGGACGACAAAATATATTAATATGGAAGTCGAAATGGCAAACTTGCTTGCTACATTTCAATACCTTAATATTACTATTATCAATTACGACAAGATTTTTGTTCAAATTGATTTTGTTGACTACAAATTTAAGTCAAATAGTAGTTAATAATGTCCCAAATCGTATCTATACCGCCGTAATTAGTTAATGCTTTTACCACAGTTCTATCTACGGTGGTGAATACATTTACTAAAAATCCCTCCAGAAAAAAACTTTAAACCCTCCACAACTGACAATAAATTACAAAAATTCTCATCGCTTCATCTCTACAACCCTAAAATCAATCTCCCTTGCCAATCCTTCGTACATTTTCGGGAAAATAACTCAAATGGTTACTGAACTTTGTAAAAGGTCCACAAGGGGTCATTGAAATTTAAAATTCAGCCAATTCATTGCCAAACTTTGCATTTGTAACCCCATTCGTTACTTGGCTCACGGTTCGTCCAAAAATTGATGGAACGATGATGTGGCTACGAACATGGCTTCATGTGTCAGTTGTTGGTGCCGTGTTAAAATAAATACACGTTATACTTAAAACAAAACAAAAAATTGAAATCTTCAAAACCTGAACTCGTTCCTGTCTCTCTCACACAAATAGAGAAATCAAACCCCAAATTAGCTACGAACCCTAAATCCCAAATCCCCCAAACCGTAAATCCATCCCTGTAAACCAAATTCAAGCTGCATGAACGTCATTCTATCTCGTTGTCATGCTTCGATGCAATCGCAGTAGAAGTTTTTTTGAGTCGCGACAAGTGCTTCTTTTCACCACCATGGATAATATTCAGCAACAATCAATGGGTAAGCAATAATAACCCTTTCTTTTGTTCTCCTGCGTTCGTTGCATTCTTCTTCCTTTTGATTTACTGTTGATAGCATAGAAGACATTCTTGATATTCTCTAGAAAATTTGTAAAGTGGTTTCTTTTATTTAACGGACTATTATGACTTGTAATATAATATTGATAGCATGTTGACATCCGTTCAACATGTGTGTGGGTGGGTGGGTGTGTGTGAGACATTAATTTGGTATTACAATTCGTTATTGTACATTCTGCTTTATTCTTGCTAATGAAAAATAAAACTAGGATACTGTATTATAAATTATAATTTTTGATCTCTTTATTTACTTTTTTGTTTGTTATATTTGCAAATATTCTGATGGACAATGATCCAGACTTTCACGACTCTGATCATGATGTATACGACGATAATGATATTTTATTTGATTGTAACATTACCGAAGGTATTGAAATGGCTATGTATAGCTTGCTACTTGATGAAGAAGCCCCGTAAGAAGACATCTCGTCGAATGCATCTTATGAAGAACTAAAATTTGGTAATGGTTCGGACTAGGAGGGCAACATTGGTACACATAATTTTCTTGATAATCGATCTTCGATCAAGTTGAGCCAAATTTCAAGAGAAATGATAAGATCCGAGTGCATTGTGTTCGTAAGGATTGTTGTCCATGGATGTTGTGGGCGTTTAAGTTACAAGGTCAAGACATAGTACAAATAAAAACATATGACCCTAAACATACTTTCTTGAAGGTACATCAAATAAGTACGTAACATACAAGTGGCTTGCCGATTATTACTTAGATGATTTTACAACCAATCTTCACTGGAAGACAAAGCATTTCAAAACTAAAGTGAGAGGATTTGGGAGTGCATATTACAAAGTCGGTTGCATGGAATAGTAGAAAATACGCAAAAGTTTTAATAGAAGAGAATGATGCAGTACAATTTGCGAAGTTAGGTTTCTATGCCGAGGAATTGAGGTGAACAAATCATAGTTCTACTGTGATCATTGCTCATGTGGGAAATGTGTTTAGGGGTATTTATGTTTGCATAGAGACATGTAAAAAGGATTTTTAGCAGGGGTGTATAAATAGAATTTTTTGAAGGAAAATATGATAGGCAACTTCTAGCAGCAGTTGGGGTAGACGCCAACGATTGTATATATCCAATTGCATATGCCACTGTCAAGTAAGAGAACACAAGTTCATATATCCAATTGCACATGCCATTGTTGAGAAAGAGAACACCAGTTCATGGCGATGGTTTTTGATGTTGTTGTTTGAAGACCTAGATATGGAGAATTGCTTATCCATTACCTTCATGAGTGATAGGCAGAAAGGATAAATTAATGTTGTGGCGAATTTATTTCCAGAAGCAAAACGTCGAAAAAAAAAAAAAAAAAAAAAAAAGAAGTGATTCAAAACAGTGACAAATACTAAAAAATGACAAAAATTCAAAAAAAATGATAAACACTCAGAAAGTGATAAAATATCAACTAAAATATTGGAATCAGTTCAATAAAATGAGAAAAAAATGATACATCCCTCCTTTTTCTTCATCACCGCAAAACATCTTTAAGTCAATTTACCAAACATTAAAAAAAAAAAAAAAAAAAGTTAAAGAAAGCTAGTAAAGCAGCTCATGAATGTATATTGCAATAGAATGGGATACATCAATATCAAGTTGAGTGTTTCTATGGAAAATTTATAGTTGATATGGAGAATCAAACTTGCATGTGTAAAAGATGGCAGGGAATTTCGCATCTACATGTGATTACGTGCATCTTGGATAAAGATAACGAAGGGAAAGAGTTATGGCTTGAAACTGAAGTTCATGTGCTGTCTCCACCATGGTATGTAGCTAATAAGGGAAGAAAGCAAACGAAAAAAAGAAAAGGACCTGAAGAAGTTGAAGTGTCTTAATCACAATCACAAGAGTCGACAACAGAGAAAGGAGTTTTGTATATGACATGTTCGGTGTGCAAGGAGAAAAGACATAACAAACGTCACCTTAGCATAAAGGCATCAACAGTTTCTGATGCACGCATTATTGCATTCTAAGTTTATTATTTTATTGATTTATTATTATTATTTTTTTTGTTATTGCATGTCAACTTATATTACTATTGTTCACATTTATTAGGAAGGTCAACAACTTGGAGATGGAGCTAGATGTTTTCAGGGGCGGGAATGCAGCCTTAATGCACCACTTACTAGAAATTTTTGTGAATATCTCAAGGGGAATTTGCTAGGGGATTCATGTAGGTCACTTACAACCTATTTTTTGTGATTATCTAAGGAATTGTAATACAATTTTTAGAAACATAGGCATCCAAGTTTATGTAATTATGGTACATTATCCCATTGAAGTGTTGTAGTGTCTTGAATAATGTATTCCTATTCGTTGATATGGAATGTAAAGAAGTAATTTTGGGTATTGACTAATATAAATCCAGTTGGTCCATATTGTGTATAAAGGAGGCTATGTAATTACATTATTTACCCAAGTGGCTACCCTCAGTTGTGAACCTACATATTTTACCCAACTGCTTGGCAAATGCGGTTAGGTTCCATTGCAGTTAAGTGGATAATCTTCTCGGACCATGTTATTTTATAATGCGAAATTTTTAAAAAAAATGGTCAATTACATGTTTGTTAATTAAAAAGTGTCCAATTTTAATAACTCTTGCAAAATTGGCCAAATTTGGTATTAAATTATCTTTTATACCCTTAATGAAAATGAAACAATTTTTTTGATGTCTTTTCAATGTCTCACAAATTTCTAGAAAATTAATGTAACTTCCATGAGAAGCTATAATAATAACAAGGTAATACATAATAGGTAAATGTTCCTCATTACCTATTAGGTAATGACCAATGATTTTGAGTAGAATTGAAGATGATGAAGTAGAAAAATCATTAACACAAAAAAGTTTTTACATACTCCTAAATTCATAAGTAAATCATATCATTTTGTTTCGAGAAATTTTGGCCCTGTTTTGTAGGAATTTTGAGAATTGATTTTTTGACTGTTAGAAGAAAAGTGGGGGCTATCTGTGAGAGAAGAAATCAAAAATTGCGGTTGAAATAGTGAAATAACAGTTAAAAAATCAATTTTTTGGGGGTGAAAAATCACTCTCAAACACCCCCAATCTCATCCACAATTTCCCATAGAATGTAAATTTTCTTCGAAATATCATTTTTGTTAATAAGTTTGTATTGAACAGTTGTTGTGATACATATGATGCAAATGGATTATTAGATTTTTCAAACAATTAGTAGATACTTGTTATAAGATTATTGGAGTATTTTAAAATTAAATTCATGTTTGTTGTTCTGTATTTTTCAAACATGGTGTCACAGCCTATTTAAATAACTTTGATAGATAGATTTGCTATGGTTGTCATGTATTGACAATGCTATTAATGGAGGAATATATTCTTGCAAGAATATTTGTTAAAGTTGAAGTTGAAGTTAAAGAAGATGATAAATGCATATGGTGAAGTGTGTGGCCAAATATAGTTCTCAACATTTTATAACTGTCGAGAACGACACTTAAAATGTAATTGTTGACAGTTTTTCAATGTCTAGAATTACATTTTATTAACTTAGCGAAGCTACCGAAGATTTTGTAAATATCGTTGACCATATTACTTATGGGTAGCATGTTTGTTTTTGATATTCCTGTTAGGTAATCCTTTTTGGTGAGATTTGTTATCTTGCATGGCGGTACATTCGTCAACACAGAGGATGAGTGGAAGTGGTTTGGGAATCAAACGACATCAATTATTATTCAAAGAGACTTAGATATGAAGAACTTCTCAATAAATTATTCAAAAAGCTTCATCTTAACAGAATGAAAATTTAAATCCACCTCAAATTTAAAGTTCCGAACATGAATGTACCCCTTGTTGATGTAGTTGATGATGAGGACTTGCAATGGTATATTTCTGTTCACAAACAAACAGTCTTGTGCGTAATTGCAGATCAATATGATGTCGGAGAGCAAGAGGAGAATGTCGGAGTTGATCATTATCACCAGTATAAGAGACATCGTACGAGCATAATGAAGTTGGTGTGTTCGAACTAAAAGAGCCACTAATGATTTCTGACACAAACTTCGGCCTAGTTGAAGGAAATTCATATATTGAAAATGCAAACGAATCGGAAGATCAAAGGGAAATTACAGAGAAGCAACTCTTCATTAGCAAGAAACAACTACACACAAGGCTTCGACTATAGGCTTTGACCGAGAAGTTTTATTTCAAAGTTAAAAAGTTGAGTACTAGATCTCTCACTGTATGTTGCATGGATACAAACTGCCAATGGTTATTACGAGCTTCGAAGATAAAAAATTTAAATATATTAAGGTTCGAAGGTACATATCTGGGTACACACTTTCTTTAGATGTTCGACGGAATGTACACATGCATGCAACCAATTCTCTAATTGGACAACACATAATGCGATGATTAGATGATGCAAATCAATCGTATGTTCCTCCAGGTATTATCGGGGATTTCGAACATTAGTTTGGCTTAAGAATTAACTACAACAAAGCTTGGAGGGACACAGAGAAGGGTCTTGAATGGCTCCGTGGTATACCTGAAGAGAGTTTTCAAAAATTGCCTTTGTACTATTATGTCTTATCTGGAAAAAACCCGGAACCGTCGCACACATTGAGCTCGATAGCAATAATTGTTTCTTGTACTTCTTCTTAGCATTAGGTGCGAGTATACGTGGCTTTCAAGATTACATAAATTCAATCATTTGTGTTGACGAAAGTCATTCGAAGGGAGAGTATAAGGGAACACTATTAGTTGCTATAGCGCAGGATGAGAACTTCCAGATATATCCAATTGCTTGGGGGATTTTCGATGGGGGGAACAAATACATCGTGGAATTGGTTTTTCACAAAGTTGAAAGACGTAGTAGATGACTTAGAAAGGCTAGTGCTTGTATCAGACGGGAAGAAGAGCATTAAGCGGGCAATATTTAGGTTGTACTCACTTTCTCACCATGGTGTTACATCTGGCATATTGAGAAAAATATAATTACTAAGTATAGCAGTAGCAATGTCGTGTTCTTGTTCAAGCATACTGCATATTAGAATTCGAATAGTTAATGGGGCATATTAGAAACATCCGACTAGACATTATGACGAACAAAAGTGCCAAGTCCCTTAATGCAGTCCTCAGGCGGCAACAAAGTTTTATCATAAAATCGTTGGTCGACAACATTAGGTCTTTGATGCAATAGTGGTTTTTCGATAGGAGAATCGCATCCGCCGAATGCTAGAGTGCCTTGACACCAAAGATGGAGGGGGAATTGAGAAATTGTTTGACATTGGTGCAACATTACAAGTACGTCACTTGGATAAACTCGTATTGGAGGTTGGTGTGGGCACAAACATATGTATTTTTGACCTTATAGGCAACATGTGCTCATATCAAGAATTTCAGATGCGATAGATACAGTGTGCACATACATCTCGAGCAGCATACGCAAAGGAAAAATCACTTTATGATTTGTGTTCCCGGTACTATACCACTTATTTCTGGCAAAGTTGCATATAATGAAGTCATTTATCTAACTGGAATGGAGTCCGATTAGGTTATTCCTCATTCGATTCGTTCCATCCATATTTCGCCCCCAATTATACGTAGACCACCAGGACAACCTCATACCCAACGGAAACGATCAAGACATTAAAGGTTGATGAGCGCACGAAAATGTGGACGGTGCGGTGGTTACGGACATAACAAGCAAACATATAGGAGCTCATGACCATTGATTAATCTTGACACTTGAATGTTTTTTGTATTCATATTAACATCAAGTTTGTCATTAATGAATAATATACTTTTACATTTTCAGGTTATTTTCACAATTCATTTTGACACTTCATAGTCATTCAAAGAGCATTACAAAACATAAATTTTGTAAACTACGATTTCAAGATCAGTATACATCCACGTACTAAATTTCAAACAACGGTATTCACAAAATTTACAGCAGCTTTGCTAAGTTAATAAAATGTAATTCTGGACATTGAAATACTGTCAAAAATTACATTTTAAGTGTCGTTTTTAACAGTTATAAAATGTTGAGAATGATATTCTGCCAGACACTTCACCATTTGCATTTATCATCTTCTTCAACGTCAAAAACCATTCTTGCAAGGAATTTATTCCCCCATTAATGGGATTTTCAATACATGACAACCATTGCAAATTCATCTATCAAAGTTATTTAAATAGAATGTGGCATCATGTTTGAGAAATACCAAACACAAAATGACAAACATCAAATTTGTCATTGATGAATAATATACTGATCCTCGATTCGAATATGTAAAAATGCATTTAATAGTTAGATTAATTTAATAGATTGTACAAAAAAATATACAATTATCTCTAATATCTACTGGCCACTATTTAGAAGAAATTAAAATAAGATTATTACTAAATTTTAGTAGAAATTGATGAAATATATGGTTGAAAAGTTGTTGGTCCTATGAAATGTGAGGTTAAATTTAATTGTTGATTTTGACTTAAGATTTTAATTGGATTATAATTAAAACCAAACGGGGGCTATAACTTTAAATTGGCCGTCAAGTATGAACTATACCTACTTTGAACCTCCTGAAAACAAAATAAGCCACAAGAACTATAAAAAAATGTATCATTCATTTAACCAAAAAATTAAATCTTGCATCAATCAATCAACACACAAATTGAGAAATAAAAAAATAAAAATAAAAAATTGAACTAAAACATCACTATTTTGTTTACATTATCATCCTACACACCAAATGTTTAGCTTATCATGTTAGTCATACAAAAATACATATTGAATTGAAAATTCATCACCCGAAATATCAAAATATAAAGAGAAGGTTGAAGATGATTTTTCATCTCCTTTGAATTCTTTCAATGGAGTTTTCAAGAAATCTCATTCTGTTGAATTTTATAGAACTTAACTTTAAAAAACTTTACGAATTGTCAAGATCTCCATGTCAAGCCACCAAGAGAATTAATCAATGTGGAACATACCTTAATCTATTGATTTGAATCTTGAATTTAATTGCTTCAATCCATCTTCTTGATTCTCGACCGTTGATCTTGATTGCGAGTTTTGGATCTTCCTCTTCAACATATTTTCTCTTATATTTTTATGCTGATGGGATGATATAAAAAATGAGAAATTACATTTGCATTGGGGACTATAACCATATATATAGTTTTCATATGTATTTTTCCTATCCTGAAATGTAATTCTAAAGGAATATGGTCTCTATAGATATAATCAGGCCCACAATTTATTTAGATGCCCAAACCCAATTACTTAATTCTCTATTAGATCACTTTAATTTTGGGCTTAACTTCAAGATAGCCTTCATGCACAATTAATTACATATGTAAGCCTACATGACACATTAGTAATTTTCCAACAATCTCCCGC